ATGGATTTTTTAAAGATTATGTTGCAATGATTGGTGATAGTAAACTTGTGGACGCCTTTTTTTGTATATAAAGGGTGGTAAGGTATTTAAATCTCCTGCCTTGTTTTTTCAGTGCGTTGATAATAAGGGAGACTATCGTATGGTTTAGTCGAGCTAGGAACAGTGGTGATTCGGGTAGTTGCCAGTGAGGTAGTCATTTGGTGGGGTATCTGAGCTAGATATTAAGGCAAGCTTTTGACCTAAGTGGTGAAGAAATCATTGAGTCTGTTTGCTGTTTCTGTTTGTGGGAGTTGGGTTCATCGATTTTGCTAATTTTAATTTTCATGCTAAGTCGTGATCTCTTTTTGTTCCAAATTTCTGATAGGGTCTTCCCAGGTCATTTTTATATCACTCGTAAGTTGGGATAATCTGTTCTCATAATAACAATTCTTTTTGCCCTTCTATCAGGCTGGTAGGATTGACGAGTAACGTTTTTGTTTATGAATTTCTGTTTATGTGACCCATTCTGTACGTTTCTTTCATATCGTGTTTTGTATTTTATGGATTTGGAGAATGGGCTGGGGGGTGTTAGCCAGGGACTGTTCAGTCTCTTAGCTGTCATTGTTAAGTTTTTTTAAGGGCAGTGCTTGTTATAAAGGTATTGGGTCTTTTTTTAGAAAATTATTAAAACATTCGCCAATATCCTGTATAGATTTTCTAGCATCTGTGTGCCAGTCAATGTTTTGTTACTGCTGTTGTGAAGTTATTAAGGGCTGCTTCATGTGAAGTCCTGAAGGGACTTTAGTAGTGTCTTGGGGATTTTACTCAAGAGTTGTTATGAGGAAGTAGGGTAGTGGTTCCTGTGGTATTGTCTGTAATTATTCCTGATTTAAAGGGGATATGGTGTTGGTCCAGATGTGGTCAAGTAGGGAAACACTAGTCTCTGTAACTCTTGTAGGTTTTGTTACTGTTGGTAGCAACATGCAGTTACTCATTGTGTTTGTGAATTCAGTAACGTGTGGGTCCTGGTCTTGCAGGAGATTTATATTGAAGTCACCTGAGAGTAGTAAGTGATCTTTGTTCATGCGTGCATCAGTTATCATACTTCCTAGGTTTTGATTAAATTGGCTAATGTTTGATTGTGGAACTCTGTAGATGTTTATCACTTAGTTTAATATGTTTATTATGCACCCCATACCCATCCTGTGGGCGGTAGTCAAAAGATTACAGAGGTACATAATGGGTCCAGGGACTGGGCCTCAAAGCTTTGATAGCTGAGCAAGTTACAGAGGTAATGAATTCACAATTTACAAAGGTAATGAACTCCAGGTAAGTCTAGTCACAATCATGACAAGTTACAAAGGTATTTACAGATTACAGAGGTACACAATGGGTCCAGGGACCGGGCTCCAAAGTTTTGATGGCTGAACTAGGTACAAGGTAATGAACTCACAAGTTACAAAGGTAATGAACTCACAAGTTACAAAGGTAATGAATACTGTAAGAATGGTTACTTACGTTTGTACATGGCTGCAATCATGAAAAATTTTTAGAGTAATGAGCAATTCACACTTCCACACCCGGTCACAACTGTAGTGAGTTATTGGTGCAAATGTTGATTGCTGAGTCTCTCTCTCTCTCACACACACACACACACACATACAAATTCATACACACACACATAATCACACACACACACACACACACACACACACACACACACACATACACAAACTCATACACACACACGCACACACACTCATACACACACACACACAACACTCATACACACACACACACTCATACTCACACACACACACACACACACACACTCAACAGGCCTAGTGTCTAATCGACATGTGCCTAGGACTAAATGGTAACTAACTCACACACTCATACACATACACACAAACACACACACACACACACACACACACACACACACACACACACACACACACACACACACACACACACACACACACACACACACACATGCACATATGTGGTAATGCTTTATTTACAGCTAGCAAAGTCAGGGTATTTCTCCAGAATGGTCTGTAATATACCACTGTGGATAAAATACTTAGCCATTTCTTGAACACTTCTGAGTGAGTTGTTTCTAAATTCATTAATTTTATCACACTCCAGTACATAATGACGCAGGGTGTGACAATAGTCCATCTGGCAAAGTTTACATTTCGTTTGGTCTACATCTGGTGGTGGTGATTTAACCTGCCGTTTATCACTGTGAGAGGCTTTTGTAGGTATTTGGATTTGAATTTAGCTATTATATATTCCCCATTGTATATAGTAGTATGTTATTGATGTCAGCTGGGACTGTATACCTTGTACATGTACTTGTAGTAATAAATATATTATTATTATTATTATTATTATTATTATTATTATTATTATTATATTATTATTATTATTATTATTATTATTATTATTATTATTATTATAAAATTAGGGACTAGGGGGCGGGGGGGAGGGCGGCCATGAACCCATGGCAGGAGAGTTGTAAAAGTCATGTGTCATGGATCAAGCCAGACTCGTTCCCTGACTTATTTACCATTGTGTTATTGTGATACCATGAGTCAGTTACTTATGTTAAATATTGTACCCAAACAAACCTACATTGCCCCTCACCCACAAACTCCCCATCCATCCCCACCCACAATCTCCCCACCCATCCCTCAACCACAATCTCCCCATCCATCCCCACCCACAATCTCTCCATCCATCCCCACCCACAATCTCCCCATCCATCCCTCACCCACAAACTCCCCATCCATCCCTCACCCACAAACTCCCCATCCATCCCCACGTACAATCTCCCCATACGTCCCCTCCTGGAGTTTACCTGGAGAGAGTTCCGGGGGTCAACGCCCCCGCGGCCCGGTCTGTGACCAGGCCTCCTGGTCCTCCTGGTGGATCAGAGCCTGATCAACCAGGCTGTTGCTGCTGGCTGCACGCAAACCAACGTACGAGCCACAGCCCGGCTGATCAGGAACTGACTTTAGGTGCTTGTCCAGTGCCAGCTTGAAGACTGCCAGGGGTCTGTTGGTAATCCCCCTTATGTGTGCTGGGAGGCAGTTGAACAGTCTCGGGCCCCTGACACTTATTGTATGGTCTCTTAACGTGCTAGTGACACCCCTGCTTTTCATTGGGGGGATGGTGCATCGTCTGCCAAGTCTTTTGCTTTCGTAGTGAGTGATTTTCGTGTGCAAGTTCGGTACTAGTCCCTCTAGGATTTTCCAGGTGTACATAATCATGTATCTCTCCCTCCTGCGTTCCAGGGAATACAGGTTTAGGAACCTCAAGCGCTCCCAATAATTGAGGTGTTTTATCTCCGTTATGCGCGCCGTGAAAGTTCTCTGTACATTTTCTAGGTCGGCAATTTTACCTGCCTTGAAAGGTGCTGTTAGTGTGCAGCAATATTCCAGCCTAGATAGAACAAGTGACCTGAAGAGTGTCATCATGGGCTTGGCCTCCCTAGTTTTGAAGGTTCTCATTATCCATCCTGTCATTTTTCCCTCACCCACAATCTCCCCATACATTCCCCCCACAAACTCCCCATCCATCCCCACCTACTATCTCCCCATCCATCCCCTACCCACAATCTCCCCATACATCCCCTCACCCACAATCTCCCCATACATCCCCTCACCCACAATCTCCCCATACATCCCCCACCCACAATCTCCCCATACATCCCCTCACCCATAATCTCCCCATTCATCCCCCACCCACAATCTCCCCATACATCCCATCACCCACAATCTCCCCATACATCCCCTCCCCCACAATCTCCCCATACATCCCCCACCACAATCTCCCCATACATCCCCTCACCCACAATTTCCCCATACATCCCCTCACCCACAATCTCCCCATACATCCCCCACCCACAATCTCCCCATACATCCCTCACCCACAATCTCCCCATACATCCCTCACCCACAATCTCCCCATACATCCCATCACCCACAATCTCCCCATACATCCCCTCCCCCACAATCTCCCCATACATCCCCCACCCACAATCTCCCCATACATCCCCCACCCACAATCTCCCCATACATCCCCCACCCACAATCTCCCCATACATCCCCTCCCCCACAATCTCCCCATACATCCCCCACCCACAATCTCCCCATACATCCCCCACCCACAATCTCCCATACATCCCATCACCCACAATCTCCCCATACATCCCCTCCCCCACAATCTCCCCATCCATCCTCCCCCACAATCTCTCCATCCGTCCTCACCCACAATCTCACCATACATCCCCTCCCCCACAATCTCCCCATACATCCCCCACCCACAATCTCCCCATACAATAAGTGTCAGGGGCCCGAGACTGTTCAACTGCCTCCCAGCATACATAAGGGGGATTACCAACAGACCCCTGGCAGTCTTCAAGCTGGCACTGGACAAGCACCTAAAGTCGGTTACTGACCAGCCGGGCTGTGGCTCGTACGTTGGTTTGCGTGCAGCCAGCAGCAACAGCCTGGTTGATCAGGCTCTGATCCACCAGGAGGCCTGGTCACAGACCGGGCCGCCGGGGCGTTGACCCCCGGAACTCTCTCCAGGTAAACTCCAGGTAATACATCCCATCACCCACAATCTCCCCATACATCCCCTACCCCACAATCTCCCCATACATCCCCCACCCACAATCTCCCCATACATTCCCCACCCACAATCTCCCCATACATCCTATCACCACAATCTCTCCATACATCCCCTCACCCACAATCTCCCCATACATCCTATCACCCACAATCTCCCCATACATCCCCTCACCCACAATCTCCCCATACATCCATCACCCACAATCTCCCCATACATCCCCTCACCCACAATCTCCCCATACATCCCATCACCCACAATCTCCCCATACATCCCCTCACCCACAATCTCCCCATACATCCTCACCCACAATCCCCCACCAACTCCCCATCAATGCCCCACCACCAACAATGGTTGACAAACCCGCCAACAGATGGCACCAGCGATACAACAAACCACAACAAACAGTGTCAGCAAGTGGCAGTGGTGCCCTCACATTACTGTGTTTGCTGGCCCTGTTGGTGCCATAATGGCTGCCCTGTGTGCCCCACCCCGCCCCACTCCCCCACCATCACCCCCACACAGGCAGGTAAGCAGCAGCACAACACTATAATAACACTGTAGCCAGGGACGTCTTGCTGATGGCGCCTCTAACACTCCTTATAGTGGCTCCATGGTGAGCTGCAGCTCCTGGCCCTCTATGGTGAGCTGCAGCTCCTGGCCCTCTGGTGTTGCACTGCAGAGAACTAATTTGCTTTAATACTTCTGTTCTTATGTATAGCAGGTGTTGTTAGCTTGAGTATTGTGTTAACTCGTGAGTCTAACTGTTGAAACTGAGGAATTTGGGGGAGATATTAATTCAGATTTACTGACCCCGAAGGATTAACCAACCAAGATAAATAAGATAAGATTTTGTTCGGATTTTTATCCCTGGAGGGTTAGCCACCCAGGATAACCCAAGCAAGAGAGTGCGTCATCAAGGGACTGTTTGTTTTATTTCCATTGGGGTCCTCAGTCTTGTCCCCCAAGATGCCACCTACACCCTTCGATTAACACCCAGGTACCTACTTGCTTGCTAGGTGAAATGGACAACAGGTGTAAGGAAATGCGTCCAGTGTTTCCACCCATGCAGGGGATCGAACATGGACCCTCAGCATGTGAAGTGAGAGCTCTGCTCTAGCTTCACATGCTGAGGGTCCGGGTTCAGTTTATCACTTGGTTATAATTATAATAAAAACAAACCAAGATAATCCAAGAATGTTACACATACCCGCTGCCAGGAGGCAGCTCAGATGAGAACTCACACACATGCGAGCTTTTAAATGTCTGCACAAAATTCACCTTAAACCAGCAAATAATAGAGCCTACCAGATTGGAGAATACACTAGACCTCATCTTCACTAACAATGATGATCTGATACGAAATGTCACCATATCAAAAACAATATACTCAGATCACAACATAATTGAGGTTCAGACACGTATGCGTGGAGCCCCAGACCGACATAATGAGACTAGTCACGAGGGAGCATTCACCAAATTCAACTTCAATAACAAAAACATAAAGTGGGACCAAGTAAACCAAGTCCTAACCGATATAAGCTGGGAAGATATACTAAGCAACACAGACCCCAACTTATGCCTAGAACAGATTAACTTGGTGGCACTTGATGTATGCACAAGGCTTATTCCCTTAAGAAAAAGGAGGAGTAGATGTAAAATAGAAAGAGACAGGCGCTCCCTTTACAGGCGACAGAAAAGAATAAAAGAGAGGCTAAAAGAGGCTAATATATCTGCAATGCATAGGGAGACACTGGTCAGAGAAATAGCAAACATCGAACTTAAGCTAAAGGAATCTTATAGGAGTCAGGAATCGCAGGAAGAACTAAAAGCCATAAATGAAATCGAAAGAAACCCAAAGTATTTCTTTTCTTAAGCCAAATCAGTGTCGAGAACAACATCCATTATAGGGCCCCTACTTAAACAAGATGGGTCCTACACAGATGACAGCAAGGAAATGAGTTAGGTACTCAGGCCCCAGTATGACTCAGTTTTTAGAAAGCCACTAACCAGACTGAGTCAAAGATCTAAATGAATTTTTTATGAGAGAGCCACAGAATTTGGTAAACAAGCCTACCTGACATTATCCTGATGCCAAATGACTTTGAACAGGTGATAAATGACATGCCCATGCATTCTGCCCCAGGGCCAGACTCGTGGAACTTCGTTTTCATCAAGAACTGCAAGAAACCCCTATCACGTGCTTTTAACATCCTATGGAGAGGGAGCATGAACACGGGGGTCGTCCCACAGTTACTAAAAACAACAGACACAGCCCCACTCCACAAAGGGGGCAGTAACACAATAGCAAAAAACTACAGACTGATAGCGCTAACATCCCATATCATAAAAATCTTTGAGAGTGCCCTAAGAAGCAAGATTGCCACCCATCTAGATACCCATCAGTTACACAACCTAGGACAGCAAGAGTTTAGAGCAGGCCGTTCCTGTCTGTCCCAACTACCGGATCACTATGACAAGGTCCTGGATGCACTAGAAGACAAAAAGAATGCAGATGTAATATACACAGACTTTGCAAAAGCCTTTGACAAGTGTGACCATGATGTAATATTGCACAAAATACGTGTTAAAGGAATAACAGGAAAAGTTTGGTATATGGATCTATAATTTCCTGACAAATAGAATGCAAAGAGTAGTAGTCAACAGAGTAAAGTCTGAGACAGCTACGGTGAAAAGCTCTGTTTCACAAGGCACAGTACTCGCTCCCATCTTGTTCCTCATCCTCATATCAGACATAGACAGGGATATAAGCCACAGTGCTGTGTCTTTCTTTGCAGATGACACCCGAATCTGCATGACAGTGTCTTCTATTGAAGACACTGTCATGCAGATTCTTTAAATGGGCTACAGAAAACAATATGAAGTTTAATGATGAGAAATTTCAATTACTCCGATATGGTAAACGTGAGGAAATTGAAACTTCATAAGAATATAAAAGAAATTCCAACCACACAATAGAGCGAAAAACTAACGTCAAAGACCTGAGAGTGATCATGTCGGAGGATCTCACCTTAAGGACCATTATGTTGTATCAATCACATCTGCTAGAAAAATGACAGAATGGATAATAAGAACCTTCAAAACTAGGGATGCCAAGCCCATGATGACACTCTTCAGGTCACTTGTTCTATCTAGGCTGGAATATTGCTGCACACTAACAGCACCCTTCAAGGCAGGTGAAATTGCTGACCTAGAAAATGCACAGAGAACCTTCACGGCGCGCGTAACGGAGATTAAACACCTCAATTACTGGGAACACTTGAAGTTCCTGAACCTGTACTCCCTGGAATGCAGGCTGGAGAGATACGTGATTATATACACCTGGAAAATCCTAGATGGACTAGTACCAAACTTGCGCTCGATAATCACTGCCTACGAAAGCGAAAGACTCGGCAGACAGTGCAACATCCCCCCAATGAAAAGCAGGGATGTCACTAGCACATTAAGAGACAATACAATAAGTGTCAGGGGCCCAAGACTGTTCAACTGCCTCCCAGCATACATAAGGGGGATTACCAATAGACCCCTGGCAGTCTTCAAGCAGGCACTGGACAGGCACCTAAAGTCGGTACCTGACCAGCCGGGCTGTAGTTCGTATGTTGGAGTGCGTGCAGCCAGCAGTAACAGCCTGGTTGATCAGGCACTGATCCACCATGAGGCCTGGTCACAGACCAGGCCGCTGGGGCGTTGACCCCCTGAACTCTCTCCAGGTAAACTCCAGGTAGTTGAGAGGCAACATTATTATGAGCAAGGCAACCTGTCACAGTGAACATACAGCACCAGGGATATGAGAGGCAATCAGGTTTGATACAAGGAAGTGAAGGACAAGTTCAATAATTCTTCAGATTAGAAGCCCCTTCCTTCAGTTGTCTGAGAGGGACTTTCATGCAACTGTCATGTAAATGGTTTAGAAAACCAAGAAGTTGATACACTTGTGTAATGTTTGGGTATCTTTATTGAGGAAATGTTTTACAAGCCAGTGGCTTCTTCCATCCAATATAGAGATGAATGGTGGAAAGTGAAGAGTTTGAGGTAATCAGTCCCACAGTCTGGAGTTGATGTGTTTGGTCCATCAATCTTGAGAAAAATACTTTAATCAAGATTGATGGACTGAACATAGACTCCAGGCACAAGGACTGATTACCTCAAACTCCTCCGTATTTACCACCCTTCTTGTGTGTATTGGACAGAAGAAGCCACTGGCTGGCAAAACATTTCCTCAAAGATTCCCAGATGTTGCAAAAGTGTATCATTGTTCTTCATGCAACTGATCTGCCCTCAGCAGCATCCTCCAGCATCTCTCCAGACTTTTACACCTTTGTGATGGACTTGAATTAAACCATCAAGGAACAGAGGATTCCTCACATGGATAATTCTGAAGCATTAACTTGAATGAAAGGGCACAATACTGTGACTGGTACAATACTGTGACTGGTACAATACTGTGACTGGTACAGTACTGTGACTGGGACAGTACTGTGACTAGTACAATACTATGGCTGGTACAGTACTGTGACTGATACAGTACTGTGACTGGGACAGTACTGTGACTAGTACAATACTGTGACTGGTACAGTACTGTGACTGGGACAGTACTGTGACTAGTACAATACTGTGACTACTACAATACTGTGACTGGTACAGTACTGTGACTGGTACAGTACTGTGACTAGTACAATACTCTGACTGGTACAGTACTGTGACTGGTACAGTACTGTTTCTGGTACAGTACTGTGACCAGTACAGTACTGTGACTGGTACAGTACTGTGGCTAGTACAATACTGTGACTGGTACAGTACTGTGACTGGGACAGTACTGTGACTAGTACAATACTATGGCTGGTACAGTACTGTGACTGGTACAGTACTGTGACTGGGACAGTACTGTGACTAGTACAATACTGTGACTGGTACAGTACTGTGACTGGGACAGTACTGTGACTAGTACAATACTGTGACTAGTACAATACTGTGACTGGTACAGTACTGTGACTGGTACAGTACTGTGACTAGTACAATACTGTGACTGGTACAGTACTGTGACTGGTACAGTACTGTTACTGGTACAGTACTGTGACCAGTACAGTACTGTGACTGGTACAGTACTGTGGCTAGTACAATACTGTGACTGGTACAGTACTGTGACTGGTACAATACTGTGACTGGTACAATACTGTGACTGGTACAATACTGTGACTGGTTCAGTACTGTGGTACAGTACTGTGACTGGTACAATACTGTGACTGGTACAATACTGTGACTGGTTCAGTACTGTGACTGGTACAATACTGTGACTGGTACAATACTGTGATTGATTCAATACTGTGACTGGTACAATACTGTGATTGGTTCAATACTGTGATTGGTACAGTACTGTGACTGGTACAATACTGTGACTGGTACAATACTGTGACTGGTACAGTACTGTGACTGGTACAGTACTGTGACTGGTACAGTACTGTGACTGGTACAGTACTGTGACTAGTACAATACTGTGACTGGTGTCAC